GTGGGCCGCCAAAAGGGAGCAACCAAAACCGGCGCTCGAATATGCGCGTTTAATGGTTGTTCAAACTGAAAACTGAAAATCATTGCCGAGGTCACCTGAACACGTGTGAATTGGCAATTCGGTTTAGCCCTGGTAGTATGAGCTGGTGGGCACATTGGTGTAACACTCACACATACCTTCGATGTCCAATGGGTCTGGAGATTACCGCCTGGACAGTTGGGCTTTGAATTTGCACCACTGATTACCTCTAATAAGAGCGAAACTCGAATCTAATGCTTCCCGAAGAAATGGTTGACAGGATGAATTGGGGGTTGTGTGTGAATGTGAAGTCCGGACGATAGTCATCTGGTATTTCAGGTGGCGATTTGCCCTAATCTCACAAAAGAAACGTAAGCCACTGCTAATAGATTCATTTGACGACAGAATTTATTCTTTCGATCGCACGCCTTCTAAGTGCCCTAGGACGGGAATTTGGTTTACACTATCTACCCCGAGGTTATCGGGGTAAACCGGTATAGGGAAGTCGAATTTCATGCTTTTTGATTGCTTGTCTGACTGCTCCATCAGATTTTTTTATTACACACCTAGGTGTGATAAACAACAGACGGGGCAAACCCCATAATCACGAAGACCTGCTGTTCAGTGGTTGAAATCAGCAATCTAAGCCCCGGAACTTGGAGTGGCGAACCACATAAGGCCCCGATAGGTTAGGCGTGGTATTGAACCGGACGACAGCAGAGCTGCCTACCACCAAAGTCGGGTGGCGGTGACGGGGCTCGGACCATAGGGTCCAAAGTACGCCGGTGACAGCGACTAAAACACTGCGCCACCACCACACGCGAAGAAGACAACGGTGTTCAAACACCGATAGTCTATCTTTGTCCTGTTTTCTTAATGGCCAAGTTTCTACGCCGTATAGCAGAACTGGTTAAATTACAGTGGCGTACACTCGCCCCTTCAACGGTAACCGGATGTCGCGACGGCGCCACAGATGTCTAAAGTCGGAAAATGCCAATCGAGCCTTCTGTATGCGAGCTGACACTTCATCCGTGATGCGTCCACCGAGTGATATGTAGCTGCCCAGATAACAAAACTTATCCACCTGCTCTATTACTTCCCCAGTTTGAGTGAATCCGAATGCTTACGGTTTTGGCCGTGACTAGGATAGGATGCTTCGCTGTTCTTGATTGCCTACGTCGAACCTTATAAATCGGTTAGAACGCGTTTGCCTCNTTTGCCTCATCCACCGAGTAATCTGACTGAATGAGTTGCAAACAAACCGCGCTTGTAATTGTCTTAATTGTTCCTCTCCTTAGCGAAGCCGGTTGGTGTTCACGAACGCGATCTATAAGCGCCTGGTCGCCCTATCAATGTACACGGTCCCACGGGATCAGGTGATTGAGTACACACAGAATGAGGCTACAGATGGGGTACTTTATCCTTCAGTCGGAAACACAATCGGTTTAGATGCCGATACAGCTTTTACTTGTGCCGTGTGGAAAGTCCTGCATCGAAGAGCTTTCTTTGATTGAGTTCCGCCTCCGTATCTCCCTGGAACGGCAGATCCACATAGACAGACCTCTTCACTGCTCCTGTTTCGTTTGGCTGTTCCTCGTGTTCTAGCATTACCCTGTCAATAAATCGTTCTGGGTAGTCACTGTGTGCAAATAGTTTCACAAAAAAACTCACTGAGAACAACAGCATGGTGAACAACTCGTTTTCAGTTATGAATTCACAGTTGGCTTGTATTCTGCAAATCAGTAGACCACACTGTTTTTTAATTGGTATTATGTGTGTCTGTTTTTCGCCCGCACCCCTTCAGGCCATGCTCAATACAAACCAGTCAAGCAATCCGGTCTACGTATCACCCGGGCATCTGATCTCGTTAGAGACCGCCTGTGAGATTGTGCTGAGAATGTCCAAGTTCCGTACACCCGAACCGACGCGACTAGTAAGTGATTCTTCACGAATCTCATTTGTTTGCGGTCGATCAACTCGTTTGTGTTTTGCACTCGCCTCAATCTGTCGTTTGTTTCCCAATTCAGTCTCTATGTGTGTTTGGGGGAGCGGGTGGGCGGGTGAGCATAAATCGGTCTTTAAAAACCGAAAACTGGTGGAGGTGAATGTTTTCCAATTGTAGCCGGCCCTTTACGCATCTCACAAAATACTCCTACCCGACTAAGCGTCTTAAGTAGTCTTTTTAGAGGATTCCTTGTTCACTGGATTTACACCACCAAAGTGAGAAGACTAAAAGCTAACCCAAGCGATTACAACCTGATCGGTGAACCGGTAATTCCAAACCAAAAAAGGAGAGGCATACGAACCGCCAGTATTCGCTATCTTGATTGGTTTTCGGTGTGTATTGTCTCTGATGTTTGACCTCATTCAGAGAGTATAT